AAATAAATAAATAAATAAAAGAAAACAAAGGAACAAGGACCAAAGTAGTTGAAAGAAGGCTAGCTGTGTATCTATGTGGGCAGAATGACAGGAAAGTATCCCTTAAAGACATTTCAGGTAAATGTCTAGGTCCTTCTTTATCATTCCCTAGCCAAATCTAACAGCACCCCAGCTGGAGTGCTAATGGCAGATGGCCTAGAGAAAGGGTAAGAAGTTTTACTCTTGCCTCATGTGCATCTTCAGGCTTTCTCAGAAAGCCATTGAGCTGCTGGGAGCTTTACTTTCTAGAAGAAAAACTTGGGATCTGAGAAATTAACTGTGCTGCCCAAGAGGATATTGCTCATAAGTTCTCCTTCTAAGTTGGACAACCAAGAACAGTCTCTCCCAGCTCCTTGATTGTGTTCTACTCTCCAAGCCTGACATTTCTTCACCATGGTGCCATTAGATTCTGTTATTGAAGTATCTTGGTTTGTTTGGGGTGATTTGTTCCCTTGCTTTTTCATGTTTTTTGTGTGTCTACTCATTTAGTGGTATGGATCTGAGGTAGCAGAGTTTCTACCCTGTGGATTTGTAGTATCCTTGAAGATTTCCAATACCTCACCATTTAGGGGGAGACAAATAATAACAACCAATGCAAATATAAATAATATACTGCATTAAACCAACTAGTTCCTACTATGACATCTACAATGTTAATCTTCACAATAAATAGAAATGATGTGATCAATTATTGCCTACAATAAAACTAGCAAGTTTGCAAAAGGGTTTACAATTTCAAATGGTGAAGGAGGATAACAGAAATGATACAGGATGTAATGATTACGATGAAAAGGAGAGAAGATACAAGTAAAAAAGGAAAAGTGAAAGAGAGAACAATAGAGATTGACTGTTGATGAAAGAAAAGAGAGAAAGAGAATCAAGTGAAACAGGTAAATGAAAAAAATATATAAAGTAAAATTATTTTTAAAAAATTAAAAATAAAAATAAAATAATTCAAAACRAAGTTAAAATATCCTAGTTCTCAAAAAACTGATCCATAAAAAATGGCTTCAGAAATGCTAGAAAAGAGGGGGGAAAATATGAGTATGTATAAATGTCCATGTGTTACTAAGGTAACAATTAAACAGAAAAGGAAAAAAGAGAAAAAAAAATCTCCATCAAAAGTGCTAAATGCCAATAGGTCTGGAGATTTTTAAATCAGTGTGCCTCCAGGTCCTGGTAATTTCTGGTCCATGCTAGAAGATTGTATTCCAGGGATCTCCCCTGGGTTCCACTCATCTGTTAGAGGAGCCAATTCTTAGTCCCCGAGGTCATCTAAGGTCCCCCATTTCCTGGTCCTGCTTTCAGTCTCCAAACTCAATCTCCGCCCCCCCAACCCTGCCCCACCCGTCCCAGTTCCCAGACTGCATCTCTCCCTTCCATTCCTGCAAGCAGCAGTTTGGAGGGGGAGGGGGAGAGCCAAGTGGGTTTCCACCACCAGCTGTCCCCTGTGTAAACCTCTCTCRACATTTGATTTTTCTCCTGGTCACTTAAGCACACTCTATGCTGTGCAGTGTGTGTTTACTGGGCCTATATTTTGGCCCAAACTCAGGTTTGCCAGGAACTACCTTCCTCAGCTGCTGGCCCCAGGTTGCAGCTGCAAAATAGTTCCTTCCTGTGTCCTCCACACTCTGCCTGGAGAGATGGCGGTTTCTTTCTTGCAGAAGGATGTTGTGCAGCACGTCTTTCAGTTTGTTGGGCAATGCCCTTGTTCACTAAATACTCCATACCCAGACACACCTCAGGCTTCCTAAAAATGCAGATTCCTTTAATTCCCTTATCCCTGCACTTTGCTCAYAGAGGGACCACTCTGGCTAGTGCTTCTGGCCTGGCCATGGCAGTGGCCTTGCTGCTAGGGATTTTTTTCCTTATTTTATTATACCCAACCTCCTGAGTCCCCGATCTGCTTTAAATGTCCAGTTTTAAATTCCAGTAAAGTCCCCCCACTTTTTTTTGTTCACCCACCTTGCTGAGAAGCTTTCGGTTTTCACTCCTTGGAGCAGCCAGGAAAGCAAGCTTCTCTATTCCCCCATCTTGAAAAATCCCAGGTGTTTCCAGTTATTATTCTCACTTAAAAAAAAAATTATATATATATATATATATACCTACTTCTGTAATCAAGATTTATTGGTAGGGAAACCAACCTTCCCAATTTGCTGAGAATGTTCCTACCTTATACCTATTATCCCAGCATAGTGTTAACAGCACCTCTTTTATTATCAAAGAAACTAAGTTTGGGAGATGCATGATTTGGTCCCTTGTTGAGGGACATCTGAGAGATAACTAGATTCACCTGTTAAAATTTGTCTAGTCCACAAAAAAGGACCACAACAAAGATTAAACAGCCATCTTCTGAGGGGCATGACTGAGGAAGCATGCTGGAGAGCAGCAAGGAGGTGAGGAGACCTACTGGAGTGGAAAGGCCTAGAGAGCAGAGAGAGTTATCTTGCCTGTCCCACATGTATCAGCTCAGAATCAAGAAGGACATCTCTTTCATGGGGAAACGGTAGGCTGGAGAGCCCCAGTGGTCTACATCACCACTGCAGGTGACTATGCTAGACACACACACAGCCCTCACAGGCCTAGAACGCAGTTTGGAGAGTTGCCCACAGTTCACACATTTGTATTGCTACAGATTAAGAGCCCACGTTGGACAGCTCCCATCCCCTGTGATCTGAGCTCCTATGGCCCAGTGCTCTCTTGAAACTGGATTAAAAGAACAATTGTTTATTCTTGCCACCTGTGGCTTGCTTGGGAAGCAACTGATTTGGGCTGTATTTGGTTGACCTCAGCCCCACAATACACCTGGGATTAAGTTCAGATCCAGATATCGCTCATCCTCCTTGAAGGACCCAGGGCTTTTGTTCCCAGGGAAATTAGAGCTGGTAAAACCAAGTGTGCAGTTCTAATTCAGGCCGTCCCGTGCTAGCTCCACTGACATCCCAGTGGCCTCATCACATGATCAAGCCTTTCAGTGAAGCAGGAGAACATACCCTCACACTTGACATGAACTGCATGGACAYATGACAAAAGGTATGAGTAGAAGGAGGGATGAAGGCTTGGAGACAGTAAGGATCATGCACATCAACTATGCATCTTGTCATTCCAGTTGCCTCATTCATTTTCCCCTTGATTTTGAAAAGTCCTTCGACTCAGGACTTAGAGTGTATGTTTAAAAATTGTTCAGTTTATGTAGTATCTGAAACTGTTTCCTTGTCAATTCATCTGTGCCCAAAAGGAGTTTGCATTTTAAAATCTGGAATTTTGACAGAAGCCAACTTAAGACTTGAAAAATATTTTAAGATGTGGATATAGTTAATTGATCTCAGCTCAAAGGCCAGGGTAGGAAGGCAGGATCCAAGGGTGAACAACGGGGCCTGTCTAAACTCGGGACAATAACTAGGACTCACTCTAGACAAAGGTTCCAAATTTAGGTTCTGCTATAGTTTGGATCTGAAATGTCTCCCAAAAATCTATGTGTCAAAGGTCACCAGCCTGTGGCAGGGCTAGGAGACTGTGGAACCTTCTGGAGGTGGGGCCTAGGAGAAGAAAGTCAGGTCATTGGGAGACATATTCTTGAAGGAAAAATTGGGACCAGCCTCTCCCTTTCTCCCTGCACTACCTCCCTCCCTGCAACTTCCTGACTGGCATGACATGAGCAGTGTCCTCTGCCATGTACTCCTGCCATGATGTGCTGCTTCACTAGAGTCCAAAGGCAATGGCAGCCAAGTAACCCTGGACAGAAACCTCTGAAACTGTGACCCAAAATAAACATTTCCTCCTTTTGTGTTGTTTGTTTCAAGTATTTTGTCACAGCAATGAAAAGCTGACTAACATAGGTTTCAAAGGATTTCTTGGAGTATTTGGTGAAAATACAGATTCCTAGGTTCAACGCCAGAAACTCTGATTCAGTGGGTCTAGAATAGGTCATGAAATGCTGAACAAAATATAGGGACTACATATAGCATGGTCAGCATATGGTACCTACTAGCTCCAGATGTGGGACTGGTTCTACATTTAAGGGTAAATAATGGCATAACCCTGAGCAGGAGTTTCCTGAGTCTCCATTTCCATTTGGGAAAACATCAGTGCATTTTTTCCCCCTCTAACTTCTGGGTATGTTAGCTATTTCCTCCCTCTCCAGTTTGACTCAGTAGATATTACCTTGTTAGGGGGTTGGGGTGCGGGAAAGAGAGGAGAATTTGTTTCAGAATGTTTGCAAAAGGAAAGACATGTTATTCTACCATTCAAAAATAGGGTTATGCAGAAATGTCGTTGCTATGAAAGGATTGCATTTTTCTTTATTCACTCTGGCACAAACCCTCTTCTACACCTCAGGTAACAGAAGGGAAGCCAGATATGGAAGTTTCAAGTCATAAGAATTCTCCTATCATTTAGAAAGACAGCGCTTCTGCTAATGGCAGCCAGGGTGAAAGGCTTAGGGCTCTATAATTGAATGAGGATGTAATAGGAAAAATAAAATAAAACCCCAGCCATCTTCAGCTGAGGGGATTGTAGAAAGAAGGAAAGCAAGAAAGAGAAGAGGGCAAAGGGAGTTGAGGACAGAGAAGGGCACAGTATATTGGGCAGGGTATTGGYCTCCCTTCTCCCCGTTACCACCATGATGCAAGCTTTATCACATTGCTCTGTTCTAGCCTCAGAGGAATGGGGGTAGAACAGAGGGCAGGTTCAAGGGATGTGAGGTGGAGTCCAGGCAGCAATACTTTTTTAACAGATTTCCTGGTGATTTTTTTTTTCTTTTTTTCCTGTGCTGAGGATTGAACTCATACCCTTGCACATTGAATTTTTTTTTTAATGCATTCACCAACTTGATACCTGACATAGTTATAGAATGGGGAAAGCCTTTGGGACTTTTACTTCTGCTCCTGCTGGCTTCCCTAGTAGTGTTCTGTGAACTTCATCATCATGTTGACAGAAATGAAACTAAAACTAACGAACTCCACCCCCGGGATTTTTGTTTCCTCGTAGTAGCCTGCTGCTGCCTGGCTGACATGGGAYGATCAGACCCTCACAGGATCATGGCCATGATGCAGACCGTGGCGAGCTCCAGTCCCGGGCAGTCCTGCGTGCTGATTCTGATCTTCACAGTGCTCCTGCAGTCCCTGTGTGTGGCTGTGACTTACATCTACTTCACCAATGAGCTGAAGCAGGTCAGTAAAAAAGGCAAGTCTCAGCAACTGTCAGGTGGCCCTCCTCTCTGCCTCTCAGCTCACTGCTCCTTGAAAACTTTACTATGGAAGAAAATCTCTTTCTGTGTGCAAATTCTAACTGCTAATGTTTATATTCCCAAGGACTTCATGGAGGTGTAGGTTCAGCAGACTGTGCAAAAACAAGCTCAGTTACAGAACTGGCTCTACCAGTTACTAGCAGATGTAGGGAACAAAACTCCTAAGGGTTTTTGTTGTTGTTGTTTAGTTTTATATGCATTTGCTTTTTTAAAATTGATACCATTCTGCAGTGCTTCCTGCGAAATGCTTGAATTCCTGTGGGTGAGGGCATCAGAGCAGAGGCTGTATCTGCTTCTGACACCTCTGGAGCCTGGCATATGGCTCCCATGCAGGTGCTCTCTAAAAACAGGCTATATAAGTGAACAACCATCACAAACATGGTGGGAGCCTTTAAGAGACAGACAGCAAAAAGAGAGTTGGGGCTCAACCTAAACCCAACAACTAAACCCTTAATAAGGTTCCAGCTGAGGTTAATTCCAGTGGACCATAGACAGACATGGGAAAACATTCAGAGGTGAGCCTTGCACAAATACCTATGTACTGTTTGCTTATGCACAGACTTCATGCCAGCCTCTCTCTCCCACTCCTTTTTTTTTTGTTGTTGTTGTTTAATATTTTAAGTTAGTAGGTAGAATTTCTTCACATAGACAAGCCAGACTTTTAAAAGTTAGCAGGTAGAATAATCTGCGTCTGAACTAAAATCAGAACCAATGTCAGGTTTCTCATTACTCCAAGAACAAGTGAGGGGTGGAGGAAAACTTCCTTGAAGTGCATTTTAGCTTCAGAACTATGGCATTTCTGTGTTGACATTTCTGTGTGAACACAAAGGACTGGCTTTCTGCTTACCCCGGTGCACAGATGTGTCATGGGTAAAGTCTGTAACAGAGAGACTAATAGACTCAGTATTTGACTATTCATGAGAAAATAGTTGAAAATACAAATGTCACTTTATGCTCAGGATAGTCCAGGTGAAAAACAGGTATGAATACAAAGAAAAAGACTTAGTGTCACTTTAGTTTATGATTTTTCAACTATCTAAAACTTTTGAAACTGTGAATGTAAAATAAACCAACCATAAATGCCAACTCAAATAAACCAAGTCAGTTTTTAATTTCTCATGTATATTTTGACAAATTCTATATTATATAATAGAGAATTGAGAGCTGCATGAAATTTYGGATACCTCCCCCCCAGTCCCATCCTCATTTTATAGATGATGAAAGCAGGTCCCCCCCCCACACGAGATATGTATTACCCAAGCTTACACGGGACGAGCTAGCACCAGGACTGTGAATGCCTAACTAATGCTCTTCCTTCCACAGCAGCATACCCATGGTCAAAACTGTGCAGCTCATGATGTACATCCTGCAACACCAAATCTGCTGGTGACTAGGAAATGCAAAGCTGAGTCCCAGAAAAATATAAATGCACAAAAGCTATAGAGTGCTTTCTAATTGTCTGTTAGGGAAATGCAGTTTGTATACCCTATGGAGTGTAAATTTGGTTATCTCAGTTGGTTGGGAATTTTTCCTTTGGAAATGGAAGAAGAAGATTCTTTTTTGTAAGTCATTATGAAAATTACGTTGACCATTTGTGAGAAATAGAAAATCCAGTGGTCCATTTTCAGAATATAGTATTTAGCCTTAAATGTAAGATTGGGATGTAAGAAATGCCTACAGAGGGGAAATAGAGCAGAATGGAAAGTTACACAATAGCACCTTAGGCTATGGATTTCTTGAAATAACCCTTTCCTTTGCCCGCTCCAATTTTAAAATTAGCCAATTGCAGAGATTGTAACCCTAGGCTCTTCCTATCAGAGCAAGGGGCAGTATTGCACTGGGGATAAAAACAGGTAGTCAGCTCACTCATGTGCACTTGCTTGGCAGACTTTGTTCAGTAGCACACCCTTCTGCAGAACATTTTGCCTTATGAAGCTATTTCTGAATATGTGTCTGATTCCTCAAGACACCCTAGGATTTCTAACACATTAGATGACCTGTAAAGAAGGCTTTATTGGAGGGCATGTTGAAGAGTTTGTGTATTTCTAGGAAAATAGATATTACTATAATCATACTTTTAATTTTAAGTCCACATAAGAGACTGGAAAGCTGCTACCCATGTTTATAGCAGCCCAATTCACAATAGTCAAACTATGGAAACAGTCTAGGTGTCCATCAATCGGTGAATGGATACAGAATATGTGGTACACAGACACAATGGAGTTTTATTCAGCCAGAAATAAGAAGGAAACTATGTCATTTGCAGGATAAATAGAACTTGAGAGCATTATGTTAAGCAAAATGAACCAGAAGGTCAAGGATCATGTTTTCTCTCATAGAAGGTAGAGAGAGGAAAAAAGGAAAAGAAAGATGGGGGGTACCTCATGAAAATTGAAGGAAGAGCATTAAAAGTAGAAAAAGAGACTAGCGCAAGGGAGAAGGGGAGGGAAAAGAGAAATACTGAGGAATGATATTTGCCAAATTATATTGTTATATTTGTGTGCCCGCATGAATCCCACCATTATGTATAATTATAWTGCACCAATAAAAAATATTGGAAAAAAGAGACCAGAATGCTGCTATGTGTACTGATCTGAAGCCAGTATTTGAAGCCCTTTGTTAACTTTATAGTATAAAAAAAGTGAAGCTCTTTCTCCATAAACAAGCAGCTCTATCAGTTATACACATCATAAATTGATCTGCTTATTTAAGACTGAATGGATCCTCTGATGAGCTGATTTATGCAGTTGCCTGTGTATAAAATCAAGTTTTTAAAACTTCTACTTAAAAAATGTAAATTTCAAATAAAGCTTAACATCTCCCCACTTATGCATATTTTTCTTGACTGCATAGTTACATGAGCATACACATGCATAAGAATTAATTGAGAGTATCACTATAAAGGGAGAATTAACAGATATTGAACAATTATTGCATGCCAGAAACTTTGATAACTATTACACTGTGTCATACTCATARCCATCTTATAAAAATCAGTATAATTATACCATTTTATAAGTGAACAAACTAAGGCTTAGGGAAATTAGGTAATTTTTTTTTTCAAGATGACAAAGTTAGTAGAAKATTAAGYCTAACTTTTGAAACTGGCTATTAAGCAAGTGCTCAAAAAATTTAGCCATAGTAATTTCTGTTGAAAGATTTTTTTGAAGGTATCACCATCTTCATCAGGAATTTTTCCAAGGGGAAATAAATCTGAATTTTCTTGAGAATCTGTGCGGAATTTGAAAAAGCATATTCTGCATAAGCCGCAATTTCCTAAGACAGATTACAGGTTTCTACCTTTGAAAATTTGCAGAAAATTCAGTAAGCAAGGTCTATAGGATGGCGCATGTGTCAAAGAAGGTCCGGTAACATTGACTTGGACCATCACAAGAAGCCTGTAGACCAGCGAGTAGGAGGCATGTATGGAAACTCCAAAGTCTGTGTCATTCTGTGAAAGTTTCATGGCAAGGAAATGGCCCATCACTCTGACATCATAGACAGGGAGGGAAAAGAGKATCCTTCTCTATAGATCCCCATAAATGATTCTTTATGCTATTTGTGGTTTGCMGAAAATGATGATCAGAGACTAATGTTTGAGGAGCGGGGAGGGCCAAAGCTGTCAACTTRAAATCTCTGTGACAGCACAGGAATCTGCCTTCCTGATCTTAAGCCCCACCAGGACTGGTTGGCCCTGGCCTAGGCAGCTGCCATGTTGTGACTGCACCAAAGCAGTCACCATGGAAATCCACTTCTCAGAACCAAGGGCTTCTGGAGCTAAAGAACAGGAATTGGTACAAAACTGTGCCTCCAGGGGCCACAGGAATGAAACCTGAACTCCTGCATCCCCCAGCCGCAACACCCACATGTGGTTATCTAAAGAAAGTCCAGTCTGCAGTGAGCTGCAGGAAGCTCATACTTTGAGACAGAAAGGATGTGGGGGGGGGGGGGAAGGAGGGCAAGAGACATCTGATTAATCGTTGTTGGACTCACCACAGCACAAACTTGCCACACAGTCACTAGAACAGGCCAAGACCTGCAAAAGTACAACCAAACATCATGATACAAGGAATACATGAGGATGAGGAAGGTGGTGAAGCATCCTCTCTGGATTTTTTTTTTCAAAATTCAATATTTATGTATAAAAATGTCTAGAAAGACAAAAACCAACATGTTGATAAGTATGCTCTCTAGGTAGGAGGGTAAGAGGTGCCCTCCATTTTATTTTTCAGGATATTATACATTTTCTATAGTGAATCTCATAAGAGAATATATGCTATCATGTGTGGTTTTCATGCAAATTTAAAGAATGTGATATTTGTGTATAGTCTTTGGTAGGACAGTTGGGGATTGAACCCAGAGGTAATCTACCACTAAGCTATAGTCCTAGTCCTTCTTTTTTTTTTTTTTTTTTTTTTTTAATTGCTGAGGCTTGCCTCAATCTTTCAATGCTCCTGCCTCCACTCTCCAAGTTGCTGGGTTTACAGGTGTGCATTGCCATGCCCAATTTGAATATTAAGAGAAAACAACTATATGCAAAAATTGTATACAGGCAGTCTGATAACCCTGTAAACAAGAGAGAGCATCCAAAGGTTAACTATGGGGTGGGGTTGTGGATGCTTTTAGTGTTTGCCTGTTTGTTCTGTTTTATTTATTTTTACTTTGGGGGAGTATTTTGTTTTCCATTTATACTTTCAAAACATGTTCTTTACTTTTCTATGTTTCTCTGGCTGCCAGTGTATTTTGCAAGTGTCTAGGCTGCATTTACTTTTGAGCCATAAGTAACACGAGCTTGTCAATCTCCCAGGACCTTACTCAGTTTTCACAGTTCCCCCTTCCACCTCCTGACAGATTTTCTAGAAAATCCAARAGGTATCACAGGCACTCACTCACACTTGGCATTAGCCTGAACTGGCCTCTGCTGTTTGGGTTGTATTTCCACCCTTCTCAAATTCCACTCRGGGTCATAGGTTGCTGCTAACCCCTGTCAGGATGCTGGCCTGACCCAGAGGCAGCCAACTCTGCCTCTCCCTGTCTGTCAACACTCTTTCCTGTTGAAATAGCCTGCAGTTTCTGGGAAGTAAGGAGCAAAGTGCTCCCTCCCTTCTTGTCAGGCACACCTTTTTCCCCCAACAAGTTACCAGTGTTTATGAGCCTGCTGATGGGGTTTCATAAAACCAAAGCCTGGCAGAACTTCCTCAGACTGGCTGCACTGAGACAGTGACCAGGAAAACTTGCTTTTCCTATAACAGTCTTCATCCTGTAGCTCATTCCAGCTCTTCCCTCTTCCTCCCTGATCCCTGTCCCCCATTTGCTAGATATGGTCTCCTGCTTCTGTAACCGAAAGCTTGGTCCTCGTCCCTGATTTCAAAATAATAATGAGGACACAGTTTTGAGAAAATGGAAAAAGAAATTTTATTGCTTTGCTAGCAAAGGAGAAACACAGGGGATTCCTGTTCCAGAGTCTGTGAATCTGACCAGAGGGCTTTTAAAGAGGTAATTCAAAAGCTGCATTTCAGGCGTGCTTGGTTGGGGGGCTATAATCTACTTGTGGCCCTGAGAAGTAGCCATTTCTTAGATCTTCTGAGACCATCCTGAAGTTTGAATTAGTTTATTCCTGTGGTATGGGTTTGCTCAAGGACAGATAACAGCCTAGGATGGGGCAAAGGGTAATCTTGCTTCTCCCAAGGTTAGGGACATTGAGAGGGAGAGGAAGAAGAGAAATCGGGGGAAAATGTCAGTTTTAAAATCAGCCACAGTGGCAGAGCAGCAAAAGTCATGTCCAAAGCACAAAGTGGTCCCCTGTTACGCTTCTGAGCCATATGTGACTGAATTCCYTCTCTGAAAGGCTATTCAACTCCTAAGGTATTTGGAGAGGCAACTTGCTGTTCCCAATAGAGGTGTGTGGGTTGGGCAGGTGTGAGGTAGGCTGTCTAATTCCATCGCCAGACACATTCCACCACTCAGGTGGGTCCAGGTGGCCATCCTCAACTGCATTTATGAGATTCTTCTACTCTTTTGTTGTTGTTGTTGTTTGTTGTTATTTCATTGGCTACTATTGTGTAATAAGTAAGGTAACCAAAAACACCTTTATTTTTTTACAAGTTCCTTTCTTCTTTTTCCAAGATAATCATGATTAACTTAAAAAAATGGTTATACAATACATCTTCAAAGCATTTCCCTATAACAGGAAACTTGAGAAAATCCAAAAGATTAAAACAATTCTATTGTGCTGTCATTATATAACAAAACTGAAACTAGCATAAGTCATTCCTACTTCAGGTTCTTCTCCTCCAGGAACCAATATTATTATTTCCTTTAGCAAAATCTGAGCTAATATTGAGTAATCCTTGTTCCTTCTGGTGTGATTCCAGCACAGTGTTGATAAAGTCATTAAAGCCTAGAAGTGTACCYATCATTTCCTTATTACTTTTGATCACAATGTAAATTTTTGATCCTGCACACCTGTCCACAAGCTCTAGGAGCAGCAGCTGTGATGGTTGGGTTGGTAGTAGCATTAACCGCCATGACTAAGCTGGAAGTGGCCAGTCCAAAGTTCTATTCTTAGAGTTTAAAAAAAAAAAAAAAGAAAAGAAAAGAAAAGAAAGACAGGAGGATCATGGGCTCAAGGCCAGCCTCAGCAACTTAGTGAGGCCCTAAGCAACTTAGGGAGACCCTGTCTCAAAATAATAAATAAAAAGGAATGGGCATGTGGCTCAGTGGTTAAGCCCTCCTGGGTTCAATCCCTGGTACCAAAAAATAAAATAAAATAAAAAGAAAGAAAGAAAAATTTTTTTTAAAAAACCCATTTATTTAAAAGTAATAACTAAATGTACTAGGGAATGTGGAAGGAATTTATTAACTCCAATCTGTACCTTTACACTTGAGAGACCTTTATTAAAAATCCAAGGGGTACATGGCTGAGTCATAAACAGGAAGTTTTGTTTAAAATGAGATTGTTTTATGCATAAATTAAAAGATTGTCATTAAATTTGATTGCTCCTTCAAGCATTGCATAAACTAACTTCAAATAATAGATAAAAATAATTATTTTCCCATTTATTTCCCCAGATAAAGGTAACTCAACTAATTTTTTACAGGGAAATAACATCTCTTAAATTTCAATTGTTAGGAAAATAAAATCAAAAGGGAAAGAAGGAAATAAAAAGAAAAACTTCTGTTTTTCTTAATCAGATAACAGCCTGGAATGTTCTGGATGGTTGGTGTGTGTGTGTGTGTGTGTGTGTGTGTGTGTGTGTGTGTGTGTGTGTGTGACATCTAGCAAGGATTTGTTGACAAGGGTGAGGACTTTGTTGACAATGATCCGGCTGTATAAATATTTACTCTCAATCAGAAGAAACAGCAAAACTTCAGATGGTATTTCAGGTCTCTGCAGACGAGTCTCTCGCTAGTGTAAACATCTAATGAGGCACCATGGAGATTTCTGGGACAGGTCCAGACAATGCCACCCAGACTAGCAGAAATCACATCAATAACAGAATCTCCTCAGCCACCTGGGTTCTGATTAAGAAAAAGGGAATTGCCCATACATCAAAGGGTCTAATTTTTATTTAGGATGCTGGAATTTGAACTGACCTCCCCGCCTATTCTGTAWCTAGGTGGCTTTCCAAGTTTAGAATGAGATCCAACCACAACAGAGCTGGAAGGGACCCGAGACATCACTATGTTCAAAGCTCTGCTTAGCAGCACCTAGGGAAGAGAGGAAGCATGGTGGAGAGACAACACAGCTGCTTAAAGATGAGGTCAGGGATGGCACCAGGACCCAGGATGTCTGAAATGTGTCACAACCTTTCCCCCTATATTCAACTGCTTGCTTTTAGCCAAAGAGCAAAGGACAGCAGGCCTACTTTTATCCAAGGTGCTGTAACTTCTCTGAATCCGCCATCCGTTTCCAYTGTTTTAACTTCCAGTTGGAGAAAGGCAGAAAGCTGTGGTGTATAACATTGTAGTATATTCCATTTCAACCCAGATGCAGGACAAGTACTTCCAAGGTGTCGTTGCCTGTTTCTTAAAGGAAGATGACCGATTTTGGGACCCCACTGATGAAGATTCTATGAACAGCCCCTGCTGGCAAGGGAAGTGGCAACTCCGACAGTTTGTCAGGAAGGTAGGTAACCTCCCTCACAGGTGCACAAGGTCAGAGGAGGAGGAATCCTTAAGCTATCAAGACTAGACTCTGCATTTTGCAAAAGAGGAAACTGAGGCCCAGAGTGTTTAAGTGATTTTTCCCCAGATTCACAGAACTAGGAAACACTGGCGTAGCACAAAATGATAGGTCCTGGCTGATTTCTGGTATACCCCAGAGCCTCCTTCTCTAGTCTAAACTTTTAATCTCACTTGTGGAAACTGAGGCACAGACAAGGAAATGTGTTCAAGGTCTTGCTGTGTGGTGTGATTTTTTTTTTTTGGTCTTCATTCAGAAGATAAAGGAAGCCAAATAATGATGTTTTATATGCTTCCCACATTATTGCTCTCTGKAATTAAATACATATTTATTTATGCATGCACACAGTGATGAAGAAYGAAAGGAAAAGGGAAAAAGAGATACTTTAAGAACCAAAGATGAAGATATCTCAGTTCACAGTTAAGTGACAAATTACAAAAATATACCTATTTATATACRTTGCTTAAGAGACCTCTAGCAGAAATATTGTGTTAGCTAATAGTTAATTTTACTAAATGTGATTGATTTCATTTTTGGCAATGTGACTTCGATTGAATCAATTTCTTCTCTGGCTGCTCCCTTCTCTGTAAGATGGCATTTAAAAATATTTGCTGAAAACATCAGATGAGAGCACAAATATCAAAACAAGCCCATGTTTGCTATCATTGTTTAAAGACATACTGGGGAATTCCCAGGGTAGGAGGAGGATGTGTTTTAGACATGTCTGTAAAGTCCATTGTCTGRTGTACACTATCTAGGTGGGTTTCCAAGTGTAGAATAAGATCCACACCATGTCAGAGCTGGAAGGGACCTCAGACAACATCACATGCAAAGCTCTGATTGGGAGCACAGGAGAAGAGAGGAAGCAGCAGCTTGTTGAGAGACAAAGTCAAGTTCAGACATCACCACGATGCTATTTCCACAGGAAATGAAATTGTATCTCCACCTGGGTGGCCTAGGAACGCACCTGCTCTGTGCTCAYCCTAGAAATGTGGTCTTGGCTGCCCCTCCCCCCGCAGTAGTACTGAGCAGCTGTGATTCCTTCACTTCAAATGGCAATGACTTGGTGGGGGGGGGGAAGCAGGGGGAAGGGGCAGGCAAAAGCTAGAAAAAGCACAGGCTGTGGAAGGCTCCAGAGGAACCTCAGAAATGGAATTCCAAAGTCCCTGGGATCTGGAGGCTGGAGGGCAARACGAAACCCAGCAACAGGGAGAGATGCAGAACTGTGGTAGACACCTGGAGACTGAGGAATGGGGAGCAGCAGTGGGGAGACAAGAGAATTTACATGTGTGTTTCTGCAACTCTCCCTCTCCCCTTCTTAGATTCTGATACCAACTAGAGTAGAAAGAAGCTGGAGGAGGACATGGAAGGTGGGGGCCAGAGTGGGGAAAGAACTGCCCCTTATATCAGATGCATCACAACGGTTAAACATTTTATTTCCAGTAAGCAGCCAATGCCCATTTTGTGTTATCTCATTGAATCCTCACAGCAGCTCTCTGAGGAAGAAAACATGGTATTATGTATATATAAATCAAAGTTTTATGCACACACACACACACACACACACACACACACATAGATATTGTTTTGTGTTTTATTTGCTTTTGCTTTGCTTTTTGGTACCAGGGATTGAATCCTGAGCAACATCCCCAGCCTTTTTTTTTTTTTTTTTTTTTTTTTTTTTTTTTTGAGACAGGGTCTAGCTAAGTTGCTTTGGACCTCACTAAGTTACTGAGGCTGCCTCAGCCTCCGGAGCTGCTGGAATTACAGGTGTGCACCCCTGCACTGGGCCATATACATTTTTAAATAGATAAAGAAATTGAAGTTCGGATCAGCAAAGTAACTTGAGCAGACTCCCAGAACTAGTATTGGCAAGATTGGACTCAGGCTATGCAGCGACACTTGCAGTCCCTCATTTTGTTTCCCACACTGCGAGGCTGACCTTTTTCCCCTTCACTTGCTTCCCTCCCTCCTTCCCTTCCCTTCTGTCCCAGAATAAGAGAAGGAAAGAGCAAGAGTGAAAGAGAGAGACAAACAGAAACAGAGAGAGAGAGAGAGAGAGAGAGAATGCTCACTTCCCCTCATTCCCATCCCTACACCAGAGCCCACAGGACTGACTCCTAGCCCTATCCAGGTTAGGGTTGGAGGCAGAGGGAGAAGCACAGAGCCTCTGCTTTGGGGTGGGGGTACAGAGGAGGCAGGTTCCAGCAATTCCAAAATTAATGACAGTGATGAGGAAAGGAAGGCAGTGATAGCCCAAGCCCTCAGGAGTGACTGAGCTGAATGAAGCGGGTCCAGAAGCTGTGAGTGAGCCTAGCTGGGTTTTGCTTGTTAAATACAAAGGTTCAATTTTCACTTTCTTGCTGTTTTTCCCCATTGGTTAGCCCAAAGAGGCGGCTTTAGTGAAGCTAGATGTTTAGTGAAGCTATGGCAACTCAGTGAAATATCTTTATGTACAGTATATCTTGACCACGTTTTCAGAAACGAGAGAATGACATGGTATTGCCAGGCTATACCCTGGTGGGTGTGAATGTCTGTGGACATCATGAGAGAGAAGTATTCATTACATTTTAAGATTTGGATCTGTCCAATAATTTCAAGCTGCTGGACTTTGTCATGCCATGCTTTTATACACACACATGTGTCCCCCCAACAGAAAGTGGTATGACATGATTATCACAGGGGGCCTCATGGAGGCCTGGGGGACTTTAGGCTGTCCTGACTTGGCAGATAGCCTCTTCGACCTGCATCATTCCAAGAGTGACCTTCCAAAGACTTCATCCAGAAACAGAACTTTCCTGGGCAGAAGACCCTCCCTTCCTCATTGCATAGGGACCACGCTCTCATTATTCATCCCTGCCCTCAGCCCTCCCCATACAAACACTGAGTTCAATCAACAGCTTAAAGCTAAGTTGGTATCTTATATAGAAATGTCCTTTTAGACATCAGCAAGAAGAGCCATAGGCATATTCTATAGCGGGTGAAAACTTGTAGAGAATTAACAAGCTTTATTCAATACTATTTGCAGATGATTTTGAGAACCTATGAGGAAACCATTCCTACAGTTGAAGGTAGTGATTTTTTTTGTTGTTGTTCTTCTAATTTGTCAAATTCATGACAAGGTAAATACCTTTCTGTTCTCCTCTTTGCTCCCATCTGCCCACCCACCTCTGGCCTGCTGCCCAGTGTCTCAAGCCACTTACTGACTCTATTTTAATCTTTGCACCAATAGCTGGAAAGTTCAGAACCAAATCTGTGGCCTGCCTATAGCCAGAACTTTACTTCCTCTCAATTTTGTTTTTCCCATATGAATTTCCTTTTCACCTCAATTTCTTCACTTAACTGGTTTTTACCTTATGTTTTAAATAAGCCACCTTAAATCTTTTCTGAAACCTGGCAGGAAGTGAAGTAGAAAAGATTCCCCCAAAGTTACCCATCTTCTCTGCATCTGACCATGAATGAGCAAAAGCCCCTCCTGCATCATGCCTCCCCTGAACATCTTTCTAGCCAACCGCAATCTTCATCCTGTGGTCTACCTTCCTGTTCATGATCAGCAGCCTTCTCTTGACCCACATTCCCCAGCACTGTGGTAGCCCAGGCCAACTTCTTTACCCTTCCATCTGCCATCTTCCATCCCGGGCTCCTCCCTYTTCATCGTGGATCATCTAACTGTCGCCTCTTTACAGAGGATTTTCCTCGCACCTGTCTAAGCAAGGTTCCCTACACTGTTATTTCTATCACACTCACCTTGTCCACCTCTTCTATTTTTATGTATTTTAAAACTACTTGATGTCTGCTTCCCTACTGGGTTCAAGATCTGTAAAGACAGAATACATTTCTGTTTTCTTACCTCTCTACACCCTGCACCTAACTGTACACCTAAGGCCTAGTGATTCTGACTTCCCACCAGCCCCTTTATTGTACTACTTTAAGTCCGTGTGTGTGTGTGTGCGCGTGTGTGTGTGTGTGTGCGTGCGCGTGTGTGTTGTTGTTGTTGTTGAATTAAATTCACAGAGCACACTGTTAACCATTTAAAAGTGGACCATTTAGTGTATTCACAGTGTGCCAACACCACCTCTCTATCCAGAATGTTATTCATCATAGTTTTGGAATGATTAAATGAACATGTAAATAAAATGACTGAATTAAATTTGCTACTTCTTTGCATTTGGCTCACCATGTCCCCATTTTTCCATACGACCGGCCATACATGACTGAACACACATGCCAGCAATCTGGTAGAGAAGAGACTGTTTCTTAACCTCCCCATCATGTGAAAAGTCTCATTTTTCTTTATTAAATATGAATGACAAGGCCTGGTCCCGGGATCTAAGCATTCTTTCTGATCATCTCCCCAAAGGTAAAAGCAGTTGTCAGCATGTTGGACATGCCACCAGTTCTGATAAGGCTCACTGGATCCATGGGCTATAGTAGGTGCACATACTCTTTTTAGTGTTGGAACAGTATTCTTTTTATTCACCCCAGTAAAGTATCCCTCCTTTCCCACCTTCGATGGCATTGCATTTTCCTTTTTGCACATGTGTCCAATCTTCCTTTTCTTGTAAGATYCTAAACCATGTACTTTCACTATGAATCACTAGGTGCTCTGCATGCCCATATGTATTGGTGACACCCAAATACACATATAAGCAAGTTTTTTCTCTAGGAGATATTTGTTATAACTAGAAGGAAATTTCCTCTCTTTTAAAATTTGTTTTCAAATCTTTTTTCCCATATCCTTGCAATGACCTCAAATGCAAATCGAATTCAGATACTGAATATTTAAAAACATTGTGTTAAGGGTTAGGGGCAGGCAAGGCATCATGAATTATTTAACAGTCAAGGTTAAAGGCAAATGGACACATCAACCTTGAAAGCTGAGCACTCTTGAGTCTAATGTGTAATCTACTATGCATTTCCATGCTACATTTGGACTTCAGTATCATATAAATGGCCACCCATTCTGAATCATTTACAACTAATACCAGATAGATGGAAAGGATTTTTGTTTTGTTTTGTTTTGTTTTCCATTCATCCTCCTCTGTGAAATTTCAGCACTCCTATTGGCTCCCTCTTCTCCTAGCCTAAATTAAGGCCTACTGTGCTTGTCTCAGTTATAATTATCTGTTAACTTGCCTGCTAGCCTGCAGCCCTCTCACCTTCCATCCATCAAACTTTACCATGACATAAGGGGGCTTAAACTACAACGTATACCTCTTCATTTCCCAGGATACCTTTCAGTCTTCCCATGTCCTATTAAGTCAAGATCTTCAATTCTTGGATGCCTCATTCAAGCTTGCAACTGAACTCCTCCCAGGACCATGACCCGGGAATGTTTTGTACATCCTGCTCTGGGATTCTGTTCTGTTTCGCCAGAAATGTCTTCTCCCATCCCTGCAGCCTGCCCATCCTCACCCTGTTAGATATTGATCTTTGCATTATAACAGTTTCTTGCATTTCCTTGCTTAAAATTCTTTTTGTCCTGGACAATGCCTGGCACAGGTGTGGTGGGCACTTTGGTTTATTTGAGTAAATGAAAGAAAAGACCTTAGCACCATCTCCTCGACAAACCTTCCCCTGACCTCGGCTCTCAAATAACTAGGAGTCTTTCCTCTTCTACACACCTGTCACCCTTTATTTCTACTTCTCATAGGTAACTTTTCACTTTCTAATTCATATCTCTCATGAAATACTATTAAGTCCCTTGAGGACTCAGTCAATAGAATCAATGATTAATTCATGTAACCTTGTACAGTGTAGTGCAGGGTTAACCTGCCAATATTTGTTTGACGAAAGAATACAACTTATTCTAACAATCAATGTGAGCATATTTGGGAAGTTGGAGCTGATATTTTTAAAGAGAGTAGGGTTTGAGGGATTTTTTTTTAAGTTGCTCTCAAGTACTTTGGATGGTGGTCAATAAATCCTATTTGTTATGATCTCGTGAATCAGCAACTTATATGTTCTTGGACTAAATCTTGGACCAGCATGTCAATTCCTATTTTTTTTTTTGGTGGGAGTGAGGGGGGTTTGGGGATGACTATTTAGATACCAGTTTGTAGCATCTATGAACAATTGCTATTCCACTCCTTTAGCATCAGTAGTACCTAGCAAAGAGGAAAATACAATTGAGATGGAAAATATTGGAGTGGAAAAAAAATGCTACCACTCTAATTTTTTCCATATGTAACTCAAAGAGGAAATTTGCCAATATATGATTATTTGCACACTTTAAGTCATTCAGCATGATTATTAGAAGTCCACTGTGTCTTTTTAATTTTTGTTTGTTTGTTGCCTTTTGTTGTATTCTACTTGGTCCTTGCCTCTGAGATGCTGATAAATTATAATTCACATTAGTGCTCACTCTTTCTGGCTAAAGTACTTTTCAAATCAAGCATAGTTGAAGTAGATTGACCATCCTACTAAAACATGGGCTATCTTTTTATGAAACTCCTAGAATCAACTTTGGAAGCCCAATGTGCTTCTTGACTGACAGCACCTGTGAGCAGAACTTATTTGAGGACTAGTTTGATCAGTGCTGATGAGTCTTTGTCATTTTTCTTTTAGAAAAACAAGCTATTTCTTCCTTAGAGAGAGAAAGAAGACCTCAGAGAGTAGCAGCTCACATAACAGGGACCACTCGGAGAAGCATTACATTCTTAGATCCAGGTAAGAAAAAACAACAAACATCCAATTTAGGGTTGGGATGTACCTCAGTGGTAGAGCATGTGCCCAGCATGCATGAAGCCCTGGGTTTGATCCTAGCACTGAAAAATAACACCTGGCCTAAGGGTAGCCAACGGAAGCATTGTTCCAAGGAATTTAATTTGTCTAATTTCTACCTAAAATATTCATATGGCAATCTAGAAGATGCTTGTAATAATCAAGTTTCAGATTGACTATTTTCAGAAGCAAAATTACAGACAAAGAGCTCAATTACTGCTGCGGCAAAACTGGCTTCGGGGAAAATATGAAGGAAAGAATTTTGTCTTTGAAATTTCTAGGCTTCCATTTTTTGCTATTCTTCTTTATCTGTAAAGTGATATCCTCCCTCCCCTCCTCACCTTCAATGGCATTGCATTTTCCTTTTTTGCACGTGTGTCAAATCTTCCTTTTCTTATAAGGTTCTAAACCATGTACTTTCACTATGAATCATTATGTGCTCTTCATGGCCGTTGTAAGTTGAGTCATAGGACATTGCCAACATAAGAGCATATTTCATTCACAAAAATGTCAGTTCCATGCAGTTTACCTAAATCCGGGTGCTACAGTTTACCTAAATATGTTAAGTCCAGTTTTTTTCTGTAGGACTGGGTGTCAATGTAATACCGTAGGAAGTGCATGGTTCTGACAGTATAAATAGTAAAGTGTGAATACTCAGCTCCTCCTCACCTAGATATGTTTAGAGCAAATTATTTAAGCAAGTCAAGTTTCAGTGTCTTCATATGCAAAATAGAGATCATCCTTAACTCATAAAGTGGTGAAGATTAATAGTAACACATGCAAACTGTCCAGCCTACTGTGAGTACTCAATAAGTAGTCACCTTTTTTTCTTTAGGAAAGATTTTATCCCAGAAAAAGAAATTTAAGAATCACTTAAGAGATGAAAAAGCTATTTAGGAGAGTTGTTTATATTCCTGAGCAGTTGTCTCCTTGGTATTCCTAAAATCATGTTTTAGAAATGATTGACATGTGCTACCKATAAGTAAGATTTATTACAATGTTACTGTTTGTTATCTATCAACAAATTTGATAATTGTTTTAAGCTCTTAAAAAGCTAAATTTTGCAGTAATCAGGAAGATGAAACCAAAGTTTAAAAATGTCCATATTTTTATAGAGCTCTTTTTCACTCAAAATCTTTGAGAGTTAAAGATCCAGGGACCTGAGGATCTTTAAATATAGGCTCCTTTGTCCAAATTTGTGCCTTTCTCATTTTTTAAATTAAAAATGCCTTCTGCTTGGGTGGCATCTTTGACTTTGGAGAACTGTGAAAGACCAAGGAGGAACTTAAAAAGACCCACCAGCACAGGAAAGGAGGAAAGGGGGATTAAGACAGAAGCTCTGCTCAGGAGTAAAAACTGCCACCTGAGTGGATCATGCCCTGGGTTACTATTCAGAGCTGAGCGTGTCAGGTGTGGTATAAGAGGTAGATGAGCTACAGTAAGGCAGGGAACTTCCAGAACATCACAATGATGCAGGAACCTCCTGCTTCCTATATGACTAGAATTTATAATCCACATAATATTGAAGGGGCAAGAAATTCGGTATTAAATTGAAATCCATTGCAAACCCAGCAAAAATATCAGCTGTGCAGAGCTGCTGGGGAAGTCCTTGCTTTGCTATAATCTCTCTTCTGTTAACTCTCTGTCTCTCATCTTCATCCAGACTCCAAGAGTGAAAAGGCTTTGGGCCAGAAAATAAAATCCTGGGAGTCATCAAGGAAGGGACATTCATTCCTGAAAAATTTGCACTTGAGGAATGGAGAACTTGTCATCCATCAAACAGGTCTTTATTACATCTATTCCCAAACATACTTTCGATTTCAGGAAATTGAAGAAACTTCAGGAATACTTTCAAAAGATACCAAAAAGAAAAGCAAACAGTTGGTACAGTATATTTACAAATGTACGGACTATCCTGACCCTATATTGCTGATGAAAAGTGCCAGAAATAGTTGTTGGTCCAAAGATTCTGAATATGGACTCTATTCCATCTATCAAGGGGGGATGTTTGAGCTGAAGGAAAATGACCGAATTTTTGTCTCTGTAACTAATGAACACTTGATTGACTTGGACCAAGAAGCCAGTTTTTTCGGGGTCTTTTTGATTGCTTAAATGATCTGCAGAGGAGCATCGTTTGAGCCCAGGAGTTAAAGATCATCCTGGGAAATTTAGCAAGTCTCCATCTCTGAAAAGAAGGTACACAAGGCAGCAGCTAAACCAGTGTCCTCTTGGAACAAATGGAAGCCTGGCTGAGTCCCAAATGTTCACTTTGGTTTCTCTGGTGTGGGGAGACTAGGAAGGATTACACACAGGGCCACTGAGGGATCATGGCCCGGCTGACACCTTGATTCAGACTTCTAGCTCTGAGGCCAGAAGAGAATAAATTCCTGTTGCTGAAAGCCACCCAGATTGAAACACCTTGTTCCAGCAGTTCTAGGAAGCTGACACAGCCTTTCATGCCTTGTTCAAGAAATGTTGCCACTGACAATCATACAGATATGGATACACACACACACACATACACACACTCTCACACACACACACACACACACACACACACACACACACATATATACCCTGGATTGAACCCAGGGGTGCTTACCACTGAGCCACATCCCCAGCCCTTTTTTTTTTTAATATTTTATTTAGAGACAGGGTCTCACTAAGTTACTGAGGCTGGCTTTGAACTCTCCATCCTCCTGCCTCAGCCTCTCAAGCCACTAGAATTACAGGTGTGCACCACTATACCTGGTCCCCAATCACCATATATTTTTTCCTAAAAGTTTTGAAGTTTGGCCTTCCTAGTTCCACAGTGTCATTCAACTTTAATTTAAATTCTATGGGATGTGACGTTGGAATTAAATGTTACCTTTTACCATACAAATATCCAGTTTTTCATCCCATTTTTAATAGGCCACCCTTTTTCCTGCAGTTTTAATGTCTCTTCTTTCATATACCAAGATTGTATAGGTCTGTCTCTGTGCTCAATTTTTTTCCCTATTGTTCTAATTGTCCATCTTGTACCCATGTCACCCCCTTTTCTAAAAATTTGTTGTAAAATATATGTATATATAAAACATAAAATTTGTTATTTTAATCCTTTCTCAGCGTGCAATTCAGTGGCCTTAATTATTTAAATTACTACTTAATTTCTCTAAATTTAACTATCTTAGGTACTCAAATAAGTGAAATTACACAAATTTTGTCATTTTATGTCTCATTTATTTCTATTAACATGTCTTCAAGATTCATCCATGTTTTAGCATTGTTGGAATTTCCTAGCTTCTTGAGGCTACACTGAGTAGCCTTCAGTTAATGTAATGGAGAGTTTTGAAATCTGAGGCTAAAGAATGATGACCGCAAAACTTTGGCAGCTAGAATGCAATGTCATTATGAAGAAGAGATTATTGGGGGGGAAAAAAAAAGCAGCCACTAGATACTGTGATGAGAAATGAGGGTCAGGATAACCTGATCTGGAAGCAACACTTCATTAGTGGCCACAACCCAGAGTGATAATTCCMAAAGTCTGAGCCCCAACTGCAGTAGGGCTTTTAGACATAAGCAAGTTTGGGTACTCCAGGCAAGGGTATTGGTGCAATTCTGTTGGAGGCTGCGTCTTACATTCCTTATATGGGTACAAGTTTGTCAACAGCCCAGGGGATTTCAGCCCAGAAAGCTTGGGGACTTTTACTGCACTAAACCTGGGGGTAGTGAGGGTGGGGGTGGGGGGGCCTTTTGTCCCAGTTATTTTGTTTTCTGCTTCTGCTACTATAGTCACCTTGATACAGCTACCTGTCAGCTGCTGCAAGCATCTCTGATTAAATGCCAATAAGCAGAGCTATTGTGTGCCAATGTGTGAAACCACAGCCTGTCAGCTCTTAAGCTGCTAAAGTTTCTATTTTATTCTACCACAATGCCACTAACTTGAAAGAATTGGTGGCAATGTAGATGGTATTGGCATTTAAAAAAAGACACATTGACCAATGGAACAGACTAGAGAACCCAAAATTAAATCCTCTATCTTTGGCTAATTCTCAACAAGGGTGCCAAAAATATACGTTGGAGGAAGGCCAGCCTTTAAAACAAACAGTGCCAGGGAAATTGTATATTGTCGTGTAAAAGATTGAAACTAGACCTCTATCTCTCACCCTATATAAAAATCAACTCAAAATGGATTAAAAAAAAAAAACACTTAATGTAAGACCTGAAATGCTGAGACTTCTAGAGGAAAAGGTGGGGAAATATTTCAATAAATTGGCACAGGCAACAATTTCCTGGACAGGATTCCTAAACACAGAAACAAAAGCAAGAACTAACAAATGGGGTTATATCCAGTTAACAAGCTTCTGCACCACAAAGGAAATAATCAACAAAGTGAAGAGACAACCTTCAAAATAGAAGAAAATCTTTGCCATCTATTCATCTCACAGAGGATTAAATCTAGAATATATAAATAATTCAAAAACATTTAACAACAATAACAAAATCCAATTAAAATGAACAAATGGTCGGGAGAGATAAATCTCAAAAGAAGAAATATAAACGGTCAATAAATATATGAAAAAAAATGCTTAAAACCGTTAGCCATCAGGGAAATGCAAATCAAGACTACAATGAGATTCCATCTCACCGTAGTTAGAATGGTTATTACTCAACAACAACCAAAAAATAGCAAATGGCAATGAGAATGTGGAGAAAAAGGAGCCCTTATACACTGTTGGTGGGAATGTCAATTAGTTCGCTATGAGACACAGTGTGGAGATTCTTCAAAAACTAAAAATAGAACTATATAATCCAGCTCTCCCATTCCTGGGTGTATACCCAAAGGAAATGAAATCTGCATATCCTTATTTATTGCAGCCCTATTTCCAATAGCCAAGAGAGGGGAATCCGCCTAGGTGAATGGATAAAGAAAATATGATCCATATTCACAATGGAGTGTTATTTAGTCATAAAATGGAACAAATCCTGTCATTTGTAACACGCATGGAATTGGAGTATATCACATTAAGTGAAATGAGGTAGACACAGGAAAGACAGGTCTCATGTGTTTTTTCTCATATGTGGAAATTAAAAAACAAACAAATTGCAAGAAGCTAAGGGAATTAGCTATTAGGAACTGGGAAGGGGTGGCAAAAGAAGGATGATGGATGTGATCAGTGCTTCCTCTATGAATGTATGGAAATATCACAGTGAATCCCATTAGTGTGTACAATTAGAGAGCATTCATTCATAATTATAATTTTAAAAATCATATTCACCAAAAGCATGAGGAACATAAAATGATAAGTGGTAGGCTTATCTTCCAACAGTGGAACCCTTACTGTGCCCCCTGGTGGATGCACTCCTCCTGTAAGCACTACAATAGCTTGTGTTTGTCTAACTTTGGTCAGTATCAGAATCACCTGGAGAACTTGTTTCAACAGATTTCTAGAACCCACTCTGAGTTTTTGATTCTGTAGTCCTGGCCTATGGCCTAAGAACTTGCATTTCTAACAAATTCCCAGTTGATGCTAGTGCTCTGGCTCACAGAACACTTTTTTAATCTATTTTTAAATGTATATTGATAATTGACCAACTATTAAGAATATGAGGTACAAGATGACGTAATTTTTAAGACAATATGGAAAAATTTAATCAACCTAATTAACATACTTAACACCTCAAGTACTATTTTGGTGGGTAGGATTATTTGAAATTACTGAGTGATTTTGAGATGTACAATACACTAGTATTAATTATATTTACCACACTGTGCAATAGATCTCAAAAACCAAAAAGAACAAAAAATACCCCCAAACAAAACAAAACCCCCTAAATTCCTCCTGACGAAGGCTTTGTACCCTTTGATGATCATCTCTGTCCCCCTTCCACTGCCTCTGATAAGCCACCATTCTACCCTCTACCTCTGTGAGTTCTGTTGCTTTTGATTGCACATATAAGTATGAATATGTAGTATTTATCTTTTTGTGTCTGGCTTATATCACTTAGCATAATATGCTCTAATTCCAATCATGTTGTCACAAATGACAGAGTCTCCTTCCTTTTTAGGGCTGAATGGAGTCCCATTATGTATGTATACCACATCTTCTCTACCCATTCATCCTCTGATGGACACTGAGATTAATTCTGTACCTTGGCTATTATGAATAGTGCTGCAGTAAATATGGGAAGTGCAGACATCTCTTTCACATACTGACTTCAAATCTTTTTTGGTACATACCCAGAAGTAGGATTTCCAGATCATATGGTAATTTTATTTTTAGTTTTTGGGGATTCTCCTCACAGTTTTCCACAACAGTGTACTAGGGTACCCTTTCCTGCACATCCTCGCTAGCATTTGTCATCTTTTGCACAGAGACTTTGTGAATGAAAACTGTAAATCACTGTTAGAGGGATAGGGAGCAGGGCATTGGGAATGTATACTGATTACACACAGGGAGATATACACTTATTTAAACAGTATGAAAAATGCATAAACAGTGAAACAGAGTCTCATTGGTAAGTTTAATGACATTAGAATGAAGAAATTTTCTCACAAAAAGAAAGTTAAAATTTCTCTTAGCCTTTGGTTGATTCATGTTTCAGATGTAATGTTGTATTGTTATTTGTGAAGACCCCTACCTTACCCGAGATAAGGCTCTGCTCCTACCTTACTCCATGTTAGAATGGCTTCAAAATAGACTAGACCTCAGCTCATTTAAAGTTGTGTTCAAAAGATTCATTTCTGTTGTAAAGATTATTGTGGTTTCAAATAGAGTATGTATTATATAATTAAGTAAAGGTTCAAAATTATAAAAGTCATTTTTCTTGGTTCATATCTATTACATAAACTGAATATGTTTTTCTCTATTCATTTCATTTTGTATTTTTCCTGTCAACTTTATAACTGTTGCCTATTAGTGTTTTGCAGAGGTACTACTTCTAAAAAAAAAAAAAAAAAAGAAACTGGGTTAATTTGAGATAATACACCATCATCTATAGGACAGATAGTATATAATGCTATTACTAATACTAACCAGTACCAATACTAACCACAATTAAATGAAAGGGGTAACTGTCAAATTATAGATATTGAAGTTATAACCTGTTACTCCCTCTTTAAGACGAGTGAAACTGGCTTGCTGGGTATTTAGAATCAAAAACTTGATGACCAAAGTTAAGGAAGTAAAATGGCCAAGGAAAAAGCAGCCAACATGTTGGCCCTGACCCTCTAAGGTCAGCCAGGACCCAGAGAATGACAGGACCCCTCTATCCCCTGCAACTCTGGGTGAGCCACCAGAGTTAACTGATCAGGGAGATCAGGAGAACGTTAGAGAACAGGAAGCCAACCAATGCACATTCTGCAAAGAGGAGGATCATTAGAGAGCAAAATATCCCTGATGGTTCCAAGAGAAGCCACATATGGTCAGCAAGACTATGACCCATCATGGCAGATGGCACCACTAGTAGAGGAAAGCTAATGGAGTCAAGAGGCTTCACAGACATCCCCAAGAGTAAACTCAGAGGAATTTCAGCTGATTCTTAAGAGTAGATAGGAACAATGTCAGTTTTGTCCAGTTTGGTCT